GGATCGGGTGGGAGGGGCGACACCACGGGTAACCTCAGGGCTGGTGTCTGGGCGGCCCCGGGCTGTGCTGTCGGACCCAACCCCCTTAGGGAAGCAGAGGCTTCCTGCTACCCATCTGCTTCCTGGAGGCGTGAGTTCGCTGCTCCTGCTCGCGAAGCTGGAGGAAGGATCCGCACGGGAGATGCTGGGACAGGGTGCAGAGCGAGGGGCACGGGCACAGGCGCCGAGGGGGCAACATGACATGCGGTTTTGAGGGAACCGCGCAGATACTCATCTTGGTTCTCGGGTACCGTAAGGACGGCCAAGTGAGCGAAGGCAAGAGAAGGCCACCCCATGAAGGACTTTCAGCGCCCCTCTAGGGAATGAATCTTCGGAGCTGGTGGAGGCAGCCAGATGGAAGGATTCCATGAGACTTGTTTTTAGATTTTGGCAGTTTGACGTACTAATTGGGCCAAGTGGGGAATTTTTGTTGTTGTTGCCTTTTTGATGTTTGCCAGAAGCCGTGGAGGGGGTGGGGCAGCGCAGGCAGCCTCCTTGCCAGCGAGCAGCGGGCACAGGCTCGGTGCCTGGGACGCAGAAACCAGTCCCCGCTCAGCTGCGGTGAAGTGCCAAGGGGCCAGCCTCTGTTCCCTAACCCCAAAATAAACTTAAACTGTATCAGCACCCCAGCCTGTTGGCTGTCATGGTCCAGTAAACCCCCACACCTGCACCCTCTGCCCCATTTTTTCTAAGCCAACTTCTCCATTTACCTAGACAGGAAAACACCTTAAAACTCCATCTTTTACTGTGACGGTCCCTCACCCGTTTGGTCTCTGCTGCTGCTACTTTTATACCCTCGGAATTCTCTGGAAGCACAGGCCACCTGTTTCTGCCACTTGGCGTTGCTGTCGCCTACAGACCTACTAGTTCATACTCTTTCTAACCCCCTCTTCCTTTTTTCTCCTTCTCTGAACTGGCCTGGCCCAGCTCCAGCCCGGATGGCACCGTCGTCTGCTTCTGCTGAGAGGAACAATCTCCCAGGGAGCTGACTGGTTTCACTTTCCGTTTTTCTTTTTTTTAATGAGCACTATTTATTGATTTGTTTTCCCCCACTCCCCACCCCCCACCCCTTTTGGCAACCATCAGCTTGTTCTCTATATGAGTCTTTCTATTTTGTTTTGTTTATTCATTTGTTTTTCTAGATGCAACATGTAAATGAGATCATATGGTATTTGTCTTTCTCTGACTTATTTCACTTAGCATAATATCCTCTAGGTCCATGTTGTCACAAATGGCAAGAAGAAAACAGAAGCACTAATTCAAAAAGATATATACACTCCTAGGTTCATTCCAGCATTACTAGTAACAGCCAACATAGAGAAGCAGCTGAGCCCTAACTGGTTTGGCTCAGTGGATAGAGCGTCGGCCTGCAGACTGAAGGGTCCCAGGTTCGATTCCAGTCAAGGGCACGTGCCTTGGTTGCGGGCACATCCCCAGTAAGGGGTGTGCAGGAGGCAGCTGATTAATGGATGTTTCTCTCTCATCGATGTTTCTAAGTATCCTTCTCCTTCCTCTCTGTAAAAAATCAATAAAATACATTTTAAAAAGAGAGAGAGAAGCAGCTGAGGTGTCTATCAATAGATGAATGAATAAAGAAGATGGTGTGTATGTATGTGTACAATGGAATCTTATTTGACAGTTAGAAAAAGGAAATCTTGCTGGGCCAGGGTGTCTGAGTGGTTGAACATCAACACATGAACCAAGAGGTCACCAGTTTTAGAGAGGGGGGAAGAGAGAGAGAGAGAGAGAGGGAGAGAAACATTGATGTCATAGAGAACATCGATTGGTTGCCTTCTGTACATGCCCTGACCGCAGGTTGAACCTGCAACCCTTCATTATATGGGATGATGCTCCAGCCAACTGAGCCCACTGGCCAGGGCTGCAATCATTCTTGCTTCCTCTCTTCCCGAACTTTCATTACCCTCTTTGTACCTGCACAGTCGTTATGAAATCCTCCTCTGCGTCACACTCTCGCCCTCCCCTTTTTATTCCCTTGCCTAAAGCCCGTGGGTGGCTTTCTGATGCCCTTGGAATGCATGTCAGACTCCGTTCCAGAGCCAGGAAGGCCCAGTGTGGTCTGGCCCTTGTTCATTTCTCCACCCTCCCCTCCCCCTCCCCCTCCTCAGTGCAGACACAGCAGGCGGCAGTGAGAGCAATAGGCATGCTTCACAGAGCTGCGTCTGACACACGGAGCACATGGCATGCGACATAGTTTTAAGAAACGGCTTTCAGAGGCAGTAGAACCTCCCTGTCGGCTTCTGTTTCTAGAGAAAAGGAATAATCACTACAATAAAACGCCATTGTGCAAGAGACGGGTTCACACGGGCGAGAAAATGCCAGCCAGAACATGCCTTGTCGTGGGAAAGAAAGCCATCCCTGGTCTGGAGGCAGCTAAGGCTCCTCTCACTTGCTCTTTTCCTCAGCAGTAGCTGGAGTGACAGGCAGAGTTTCTCCTTCCTTTTCTTGGAATTCGCTTGTGCTGCTCTAGCTGATTTCTCTGTTAGCCTGTGTAGCATCCGGAACAGGCTTCTTTCAGAGGCTGGCGAGTCGGTGGCTGTGAAGATACAGAAAGATGGGGATGGTACTGGCCACCGTACCTTGTGCTAGGGGCCATTTAGGGTAGACGGCTTTTTTCCTTAATGACATGAGGCTCAGGTGTACATCCCCGCCATCAGGAACACGGCCCTGACTCTCCCCCGGGCAGCCCTGTAGGAGGCAGTGCTGTCGCTTGCCTACTGAAATGTGTTTGTTTTCCAGGGAACTCTTTATTTAGAGTTCTCATCGCACGCAGTTTCTCATGTGTCATCTTTTCCAGTCCCTTGGCAGGCATGTGCTCCTGAGCTGCTGAGCTTGGTAAAGTTGTTGCCTTCAGATGTAAATTTGGCAAGATTTCAGGCCAGAAATGTGCCCCAGCCTTGCTATAGCACCATTGGGGGGTGAGGGGGGGTTGTGCCAGAAAATGCTGTAAAAGGCAAGATCCTGCTAGAACAGGCCGTTCTGCTGCATCTAGTGCCTGCAGCCCCGGAGCCCCATCTGGAACTCTGCAGGCCCGACTCGCCCGCACCGTCAGAATTAACTCGTTTAATTCTTGCAACGCACTTCGAGGTACATGAGAGAATTGCTGTCAACTCGGGAAACAGGCTCGTGACATTGGCCCCAGTAGCCCACGGGCTTGGAGGAAACTCAGGCGCCCCTCGCCTCTCCCTCCCACAGGCCTTCATGCCCCGCGGGCTGGCAGACAAAGCAGGACCCGAGGAATGTGATGCCGTGGCTCTTCTAAACCTCATCAACTCCTGCGATCACTTCATGGTTGATCGAAAGAAAGTCACCGAGGTAAGAGCTGTCCTGCCAACTCGCTGTTGTCCCTTTCGCCACTAAGCGAGGTGGGCCTCACATTTCTCTTCTGGGTTCTACCACCAACAGAAGCAAAGCTATCTTCAGTGTTCAAAACTGTGTGTGCAGAGCAATGCATCATTCTGTTCATGGGATGACAGCATTTGAGTCCTGCCCTTCTAAATTTCATTGGCAAGCCCGGCCAGTGTGGCTCAGTGGTTGAGTGTTGACCCTTGAACCAGGAGGTCACGGTTTGATTCCCGGTCAGGGCACAGGCCCCGGTTGCGGGCTCCATCCCCTCTGTGGGGCGTGCATGAAGCAGTCGATCCATGATTCTCTCTCATTATGGATGTTTCTGTCTCTCTCTCCCTCTCCCTTCCTCTCTGAAATCAGTAAAAGTATTTTTAAAAAACTTTTAAAAATGTAATTGACAAGACCAAGTTACATAGAACTGGAGAAAATAGGAACACTACTGAATAAAGGCCAGAATAGATCACCATGTCAGATCTCCTTGGAGATTTAGACAGAATTCTCTCTTTCACCAGAGAACAGCTCTACACAGTTATTACTCTGAGGGGCATTGAAGAGAGTACATTTGCATGGAGTATTTTTTTTAAATATATTTTATTGATTTTTTTACAGAGAGGAAGGGAGAGGGATAGAGAGTTAGAAACATCGATGAGAGAGAACCATCGATCAGCTGCCTTCTGCACGCCTCCCACTGGGGATGTGCCCGCAACCAAGGTACATGCCCTTGACCGGAATCGAACCCGGGACCCTTGAGTCCGCAGGCCGACGCTCTATCCACTGAGCCAAACCGGTTCTGGCTGCATGGAGTATTTATAACATGTAGAGAAAATGCATGTATATTCTGCTAGGTTGCCAGCGGCTAAAAGGACTGAGAAGCCTCTATGACATCAGTACAGACAAAAACGATCGCCGTGCGAAGTTGACCCCTGTGCTCTCTCTTAACAAAGATGTGGAAGACTTGCCGTGCATTAACGAACATATGATTACACAGCACCATCTGTCTTAAAACACAAGCTAAAGGTGGTCTTTCATCATGGTTTCTGCAACAAAAAGCTCCCTTGGCCCAGCTTCCTGGGGTTCTAGCGATAGTTAAAGGCTTTTTGCATTTTCTGCTTTAGCCTTGGGTGTGCACAGAGCCGCTAGCCAATACTCTTGCTCTTTAGCGGGTGGTTTTCAGCTAAGGGATGTAGGGGATGGTAAGAGACAGCCCAGCCAGCCACAAGATTTCAAGGACTAAGGATAGTTGTAAGCTTGTTTGTATTTCTTTCCCTGATGAATTTATTACTCAAATGGCAGGGGGTTGAACATAACAAAAAGCCTTTCTGCAACTTTTTTTTTTTTTAATATGTTTTGTTTTTTTATTGATTTCAGAGAGAGGGAGGGAGAGGGAGAGAGAGAACCATGGATCTGCTGCCCCCTGCATGCCACACACTGGGGATCGAACCCACAACCCAGGCATGTGCCCTGACTGGGAATGGAACTGTGACCTCCTGGTTCATAGGTGGACGCTCAACCACTGAGCCACGCTGGCCGGGCTGCAACTTTCTTTGAAACTACAGAAATGTCAGTTTACCCCACTGTTTGACTTTGAAGTCTTTTACCTTTTTCTGTCTTTCTGTAGGTGATTAAGTGTCGTAACGATATCATGCACTCTTCAGAGATGAAGGTATCTTCTATGTGGCTTCGAGATTTCCAGATGAAGATCCAAAATTTTCTGAATGAATTCCATAATGTCCCAGAGATTGTGGAGGCGTACTCCAGAATAGAAGAGGTAAAGATTAGGTTGAACACTTCTGGCATAAAGAACTAAGGGGAGCCGAAACCGGTTTGGCTCGGTGGATAGAGCGTCGGCCTGCAGACTGAAGGGTCCCACGTTCGATTCCAGTCAAGGGCACATGCCCGGGTTGTGAGCTCGATCCCCAGTAGGGGGTGTTCAGGAGGCAGCCGATCAATGTTTCCATTCTCCCTCTCCCTTCCTCTCTGAAATCAATAAAAAAAAATTTTTTTTAAAGAACTAAGAGGGAAAAGTAGCGACAGTCATTTAGAATTTGAAGTTTATTAGGTATAAGTGAAATTTTAGCATGTCAACAAGGCAGAACATGTTGCTATGAAATCTAGAATTGTACTGGGCTAGGAAGCTTTTCTGTGGTCACAGGATGTTATTAAAATGGGTCCAGTCAGTGATAATTCATTATAAATGCTTCAAGTCATCAGTGGAACATCTTTTTCATGCAATCAGTTCATCTGTTTGTTCGGTATTCCAACAGCTGTTGACATCTGACTGGGCTGTCCTCATCCCCGAGGAAGATCATCGAGATGGGTGTGAATGTGAAGCAGGCATTTACCTGAGTGAGAGCCAAGTCCATGAAATCGAAACGGAATTTCTAAAGGAGAAACTTCAAGAGATTTATCTTCAAGCAAAAGAGCAAGAGGTGCTGCCAGAAGAGGTAAACAAAAATAAAAATTACTATGTCCTCTGTGAGTGAACAAAACAGAGACACCAGGGAGGAAGAGTAGCTGCTCGTAAGGTATTCCCAGCCGTGTTTCTGATTCATAAGACAAGTAATTTCCAGAAATGAATCTCCTTTTGGCATAGATGAATATTACCTTTAAACAGTTCTTTTTGCTTCGTCAGCACACATGTCAGTGCCTGATATGTGCCATCGAGTAGAACCACATGGTCAGGCTGCCAAAGAACTCTGAACCGCGGCTCTGGAGAGTCTGTAAGTGGGGGTGGGGAGTGGAAAAAGGGCTTTGCTAGAAGGTGCTGTTGAGCCGGGACTAACAGAATCAGCTCAGAGTTTGACAAATGGGCAAGAGAAGAAGGGCGTTCTCGGCAGAAGGAACAGCACCTGTCAAGGCATGAAAGCCGCTTGGGCCTGGCCGGCGTGGCTCAGTTGCTGAGTGTCGACCTATGAACCAGGAGGTCACAGTTCAGTTGCCAGTCAGAGCACGTGCCCTCGTTGGGGGCTTGATCCCCAGTAGGGGGCATGCAGGTGGCGGCTGATCCATCATTCTCTCTCATCGTGGATGTTTCTCTTCCTCTCCCTTCCTCTCTCTGAAATCAATATTTTTTATTTTTATTTTTATTTTTTGATGTATTTTATTGATTTTTTACAGAGAGGAAGGGAGAGAGACAGAGAGTTAGAAACATCGATGGGAGAGAAACATCGATCAGCCGCCTCTGGCACATCTCCCACTGGTGATGTGCCCGAAACCCAGGTACATGCCCTTGACCGGAATCGAACCCAGGACCTCCCAGTCCGCAGGCCGACGCTCTATCCACTGAGCCAAACCGGCCTCGGCTGAAATCAATATTTTTTAAAAAGAAAGAATAGCTGGGGCCTGGACAGTGACAAGGAGGAGGCATGATCAGATGTGAGGTGGTCAGGTAGGTTGAAGCCATATTTTGAAAGATTTTCTGTGCTTCACCCAGGGGTTGGAGCCGACAGGTGTTTGTTTGTTTGTTTTAAATCCTCACCCGAGGATCCGTTTATTGATTGTAGGGAGAGAGTGTGCGGTGCCTCCCTGGCACACCATAGGTATGTAAAGTGATGAATACGACTGTTAAGTCCTCTGTGTTCTAAGTGCATGGGCTTCATCTTGCTTTATTTTAAAATGCATAGAACCAGCCCCACTTCCCTTCCTGCTGCTGCTTCCAGAAGGCCACCAGGGGCTCGGGATCATGGCCCCGGAGTCGTCCCGAGTCCCCTCTTCCCTCTTGAGGGAGCTGCAGGTCTTTCCCGTTTGTGTAACAAAGAGCAAAGCACACCAGCAGCACCACACTCAAGCCAGGAGTCCGTGTGCGCTGCGCGCTGGAAGGGAACCTGCCATCACTTATCACAGCCCCAGGGAGCGGGCTCTGCGGGCTGGAAGGCTGCCGGCTGGGTCTGCGGGCTGGCGTGGGTGCCCTCGCTCCGGGCCTGTGCCTCATGCCTCACTGCATCTTGTATCACCGCAGGGCTGGCGACTGGACATTTCGAACCCTCATTATCTCTGTTTTCCAGGAGCAAATTGGGGTTAATTGGCTTGTTCTCTGGGTCCCAAGTCTCTAGATGGGGTTGATAAGTTCTCATTTCGCATGCTTTTGTTCAGTCGACCATGGCATTTCTCTTGCTGTTTCCATTGATCAAAATGTAAATTCAGATTGATTGGCATGTTATCTCTAAGAAGTTGAAGGTTGCTTTCCACGGTGTGTGGAACTTGACCTTGTTTGGCAGTTCAGTCCCAGATATGGTTATCCATGTTCTCCAGGGTCAGTCTCCAAAGGCAGATGATGCGATAGCCCGCATTTCGGTGGCTCTAAGATGCCATCCATTGTAAGACCCAACATGGATTCCGTTACTTCTAAGACAGAAAAAAATGCTGCCAATTTATTGTAAGACACTCAGTGGTAAGATGCATTCTCATTTGAGATGTTAAAATATGAAAAACAGCGACACATGCATCCAGGAATGAAGGACTACGGTGATTATATTATGAGCACAGGGCTTTTTCTGTCAGTATTTAACAAGGCCTGTTTCTGGCATTCGGTAAGAGAGTGGGAGTCGGTGGAAAGCCAAGCTGAGGAAGAATGGCTCATGGTGGTGATTTAGGGTGACGGTTCCCAGAATGCCTCATGGAGCTCATGGCAGAGACCTCGTCCTGTCCGTTCTTTCCTGTTCGATCGAGGAGCCGAAATGATACATAACGTTATCAAGGGGCCCCCCGGAACACACTGTGTGCGTGACCGTGCTTGTAAGTTGCGCTGTGCTTCAGAGCCGCGGGGAGCAGCCGGCCAGCTCCCTGGGGACATGTGTGGCGTGTGGCCACCAAGGGCCGGCTGCCACCCCAGCGCCCCTTGCCTAGCCCCGCTGGCCCTCCCTGCTCTGTTCAGACCTGGGAGTTTAAAATGCAGCTGAAGAACATTGAGCGCAGTAAGTGGCTAAGAAAACAGGGGCAGACCTTGCATGTTCTCGAAATTCATCACTGATCTCAACCACCCCGGCGAGGGCCCCGCTCCGTGGAGCGTGTGTGG